GCACATGTCTCAAAGAAGAACTGGAAAATTCCAGTTCCTAAGCTTAAAATTTTTGTTTTCTAAATCACGGTAATGTTAGCTTACAGAAAGGCATGTCTTACTGTTTACTTTAAACATCATCCACTTTACTGGGTAGCTGTGAGAATTAAATGAGATGATATAAGCAAAGCCCAGCGGAGACCCTAGGTCCTAGATAGTGATGAGTAACAGGAATGATAAAACCTCAGGATTATTCCGAGGGCATTTATGAGTAAATGCTGGCAATTTAAAAATAGCACACAAGAGAACAGATGACCCCTAGAGAGTTAATCTTTTGCCTCAACTTCACACCACTCTTTTTACAGTGGAAATAACTAAGGTGTAAAAAATTACTCTACCAAGATCCTCATACCATTTAGAGTCAGCTAGTGTTAGGCCTTAACAACCCTGACTTCTTGGCCTGTGAATGAGGCCATTATAGGTGATCTTAAAGGTACTAGAAAAATTATAGGTGATCTTAAAGATTACGTAAAATTACCTAATGCTTTCCACATAGTCTTGTTTCTAATTTTGTAAAATAATTGCCTTTTTTATTCATATTTCCTTAGATTAAAGGAAAATACTAAATCAATATAAAGTCATCAGTCCCCACTTGGGAACACCCAGCCCTAAATCAATCAAATTATTGGGGCACTGACTTAGAACCCAATTCTCATTCTCTGGGCAAAGTACATTCCACATTATTATATAGTACTTTTTAACTGTGATTTTTTTTAAAAAGTATTTATGTATTTTAATTAAATCACAGTGAGATACATAGTTATAAATTTGTTCATAACTGGGTTTCAATCATATAATGTTCCAGTACCCGTCCCTTCACCAGAGTACATTTTCTACCACCAATGTCCCCAGTTTCCCTCCTGCCACCCCTGCCATCACCTCTATCTCTATAACAGACACTATGGCAGGGACTCTCTCTCTCTCTCTCTTTCTCTCTCTCTCTCTCTTCCCCCCTTTGGGGATTATGGTTTTCAATATATACTTAAAGGTTATCATGTATATCCCTTTACCTACTTTCAACACTCAATTCTTGTCCAAAGTGATCATTTTAAATTATTGTTGTCATACTGGTCCCTTCTGTATCCTAAATGCCCTTCACCCCACACACACTTGTGGCAAGCTTCCAATCATTGACCAGTCCTCCTAGTCCCATTTTCCCTGGATTTGGATATTCATTTCATTTCATTTCATCATCCTGTTAATTGTCGATTGCCTCGAGCAGGCCCCAGTAACGTCTCTTTCATCCTAGCCCTGAGATTATATTCACAGCTCTTTAGGAGAATGAGACCCATCATTGTTACTGGTATTTGGCATATTTGGTACGCCACGGGGAGTTTGCCAGACTCTGCCCTGTGGGCAGGCTACATTCAATAGCTTGCAAGTTTGTCCCAAGTAGGAATGAGATAATAAGATGTCATAAAGAAAAGTTCTGGTAAGATGTCACGCGGCCGCAAATATGGCCGCGCGGTTCCGGGATCTGGATTTTATAGTCTCTGAGTCTTGGCTGCTGATGGGATTACACGGCGCCAGGGGGCCAGGTGGTGGGTGTGACCCCCGCCTACTGGAATTTGGAGGATCTGGGTGGAAGATGCTCGACTCCAATTCGAGTAGGCTTGGAGGTTTCGGCCCCGGAACCCGCGTGGCTTTGTCCCTCTGCCAGTACCTTCATGTGTGCGGAGAGTGGTCTCAGCATGGTGGTGGCTATTAATTGGATATTAATTGGATATTAATCTCATACTTTTTTTGATATCCCACAAATGTACTCATTCTATATCTGTCCTTCTTCTGATTCATTTCACTTAGCAAGAAATGAACAGAAACTTCCTCAAAGAATAAATTTAAATGCTAAAAGGCACATGTAAAAAATGTTCTACTTCACTAATCATCAGGGAGATGCAAATCAAAACAACAATGAGGTATCATCTTACACCACAGAGACTTGGCACTTGTCCCAAAGAACAAGAACCAATGCTGGTACAAATGTGGGGAGAAAGGAACTCTTATTCATTGTTGGTGGGAATGCCAACTTGTCTAGCCTTTTTGGAAAACAATATGTGCATTTCTCAAAATACTAGAAATTGAGCTTCTAGCAATACCACTTCTGGGAATATAACCTAAGGCCCAAATACATACAGCAGAAACACCATCTGAACTTCTTTGTTCATTGCAGTACTGTCCACAGTAGCCAGAACCTGGAAACAACCCGAGTGCCCAAGAACAGATGACTAGATAAAGAAACTATGATACATCTACACAATGGAATAATGTGACTTTAGAACTTTTCTTTTAAAGATCTCTTTATTTCTCTCTTGATAAGGCCCTGTGACTTCATTTTTCTCTCTCTCCAGTTTGTGCTCATTTTAACAGTTCAAGATCAATGGAACATTATCATCTACTTAGATGGACATTTTCTTCCAGGTCCTGCTACTGCTTTCTTGATCAAATCCAGACAGTCACATCCTTTGGGAATTCCTGTTTGTAGTTGGTTTTGGTGCAGTGGTTTTCACCATCTCATTTTTCAGTTTTTCTCATTGGTAGGTTCACAGTAAGAAAAGGAGCAACAGGGAGTCTGGTAACCCTATGTCATGAATACAACTAGGTGGATTCCACATGGTCATGCTAGAAAGGTAAGGTCAAATATCTACAGACAAAATGTAAAAGTAGATAGTAGGAGGTATGTTTGAAGTGACAGGGACTGGGAAGTTTCTCTGACAATTTTTAAAATCAGCTTTGATTCTTCTCCTTCGCCTCTGAGTGGGTGTAAATTACTTTAGAGTTCTCATCCACACCTCCTCCTTTTCTCTATTTCCCTTCAAGTATCTTTGTGGCAAGTGAACCAGATTCAGTGGAGGAATAATTATCTTCTCTTTCACCATTTATCAGCAGCCCACTTCCTTTAAAACTTGAGATGCTGCTTGCATGTTGCAAAGTGTCAGCATGCCCTGAAGAAACATAAGCTGTTCAGAGGAACAGTGTTTGTAGGAACAGTTTATACTGTCAGCATTATACTTGAGAATAAAGCATAGGTATGTTCATCAAATTGTAGACCTATTTTACTGGACATATAAAATTTAGGCAACAAATTTAACATCTGTATTGTTTGTTGATTCTATTTGATGTCATTCAATACATGGCTTGCACACCAGTTTTTTTAATTTCATCCATCTAAATGGTTGTGCCTCTGGTAAAGCTTTCACTTGCTTTATACTTTGCATCATTGCAGTTATCTTTTACCCACAAATTCCATTCTTTCTATTCAACTTTTAGTCGGTGAGTTGTATGTGTCTCTATGAATGCATTGATTCTATTGTTTGCCTTTGGGGACTTTATGTACTTACATGTAAAAATTTTTATAAATCATAATTGCATTATCAACACTTACATGACAGAAACTGGTTCTTCTGGCATCAGTATAGATGCTTGTCTTAAAATTCTGGTTCCTGTAGACTTTAGCACCAGTCTGAGAGCTGTCTTTCTCAGGCAGATTGCATGAAAAGTCTGGATAGAGTGCTGTTCTTCACATGGGATTTGGGAAAATCATATAGGCAAGAAGAAAAGCAACTGGAAGAGGAGGTGCCATGATGGCTTGAACAAGCTGGTAAAGGACGTATGGATAAAAAAAAGTCAGGCAGAAGAGAGAAAGGGGAGGGTTAAAGGAATGGAAGTTGTAAGGATAAGAAATAAGAGTTAGTTGAACAGAAATAGATGGAATAATAATTAAGAAAGATAGCACAAATTATATTAGGAGCAATTAATCCATGTTCTACCTTTGTGTGACTTAGTAAAAGGTGCCATTTCTTTGGGTTGAAGTGGTACTATGTTCAGGTTTCCAGCTTGATGAACAGAGATTGGATTGTATTTTTAGCTGTCTTATCCTCTTTGGTTTGGTGTCCAGGTGCAAGACAAACCTGCATACTATATGGACTATGGGCATGCTTAGGGATATGCTATGGGAGCAATGGTATAACGTTTGGTATACCATTGTCTGAAAGACAATTGCCTACTTTTGATATGGTCAAAGTAATCCATTTTTTAATATAATGTAGCAGGATATACAGAGGTTCTGAGTAGTTATGCTTTGTTTGATGCCTTAGATAGTCTCATGAGGTTATTGTCATTCTCACTCAGCAGATTAGCATGTAGATTCAAGAGATCAAGTTATGCACAAGGGGAAAGTATCATTAAGTAAGTTGTAGAGTCAGAATATAAATTCAGATCCTGACTATGCGTTTCGAGCTTTTCTTCCATATCAGGTTTCTTATATTGATGATATAGGTATAAAATAAATGTGGTAATATTCATAAATGATCATTTCTACCCTGCATGCAGTATTAAGATATTTCTATAATCTTATGTATTCCAGTTTAATTGGTATAATCGAAAGACTATCGAGATACAAAACAGGGTTCCTGCCTGAGTAATTTAAAGATACAAATTTCTGTGCCCCAGTTTTCTCTTCATAAACCAAACTTAGTAATATATACCTCATGAATCACTGGCTCATCATTACATTTATAAATATTAAATTCTACTGAGCTTCTGTCTCACATACCACTATCTCTACAAAGACAATAGTATTTGTCATAAATAGGTCTCATTATATGTATTTCTTGTTGAAAGAAAGAATTTTAATGCATACTGCATCTGGGTCCTAAGCTAAATGCTTTACAAAATTATTTATTTCTTCTCAGTATCAATTAATAACAAAACCTTCGCTCTAGATTACAAAACTGAGAATATCAAGCAAGATGGAGGGTGGAGGTGGGATACAATAAGAAAAACTGGAAATAACATAAGGACGTTGGTTGGAGGGTCTTGAGTACTTCAGTGGTGAGGTATAGTAATCATACATCAAGACCATATACATGAAAACTAATATAAACAGTGACCTAAAGTATAGTAAGCAAACATGGTAAAATAAAAAATTAAAGTTTTAAAAATTTTCATTTTTTAATCATATGATCACAGATTCCACTGCTCCAATTTATTGATGAGGAAATCAAGACAAGGAGTGAAGAAACTTACCAGAGGTCACACAACTAGAGAGAATCAGGACCTGTCCTCAAACACAAGATTGTCTCATTCTAAAGGTATGCTCTTGGCTTTGTCTTCAAACATGTGTTCTCCCTTGAACACATAGCATGCTTCTTTATCTCGATGCACCTGTGCTTATTTGTTCCTCTCTAGAGAAGGCTGTGTTTTCTCTTGAATACATTCTTTTTTGAGGGCTTGTTTGAAGGTTCTAACGGGAGCACAGCTACTCGTATACCCTCAATCGAAGACCAGTCCATCTCTATTTGGTGAAGGCCATCCTCTTAGCGTGCAGCTTCGGGAGGGATGCACATGGAGAGGTGAGGGAGGAAGGGGACACCTGCCTAGCCAGCCAGATCATTTGAATCAACCCTGGTGATCAATGGGGTGACAGATGTCACAGCCAGATCACCCTCATATCCACAGTTTTGGGGGGTGGAGCGATGGCACAGCAGGTAGGGCATTTGCCTTTCTCACGGCTGACCTGGATTCGATTCCTCCCAGAGGGCCTGGCAAGCTACTGAGAGTATCCCGCCCACATGGCAGAGCTTGGCAAGCTCCCCATGGCATATTCAATATGCCAAAAACAGTAACAACAAGTCTCAATGGAGACATTACTGGTGCCCACTCGAGCTAATCCATGAACAACGGGAGGACAGTCACTACATTCGTTTTTCTTTCTCTCCTATCATGCCTTTTAAAGTAAGTCGGGCTGGAGCAATAGCACAGCGGTAGGGCGTTCGCCTTACACGCGGCCAACATGGCCGACCCGAGTTCGATTCCTCCGCCCCTCTCGGAGAGCCTGGCAAGCTACCGAGAGTATTCGATATGCCAGACACAGTAACAACAAAGTCTCCAATGGAGACGTTACTGGGCCCGCTCGAGCAAATCGACGATCAACGGGAGGGCCTTATTTATTTCAATAAAAAACACCCTGATTCACAAAAAATAATAAATAAAGGTATCTCATAGCTCCCAGAATTGCTCTAAGGATTAAATAAAATTGGGTACTGACCTAATGTAATGTGGGACACAGAGAAGTTCAAAGAGAATTTATATTTTCTCAAGAATTTCTGATCACTTTTAAAATGTCTCAAGAATAAAAACATAAAGAACTTAATTGGTAAAAACCTTTTAAGAGTGACTTACCATATACTTGGGTGTTGTTTGAGGCCATAGCCATAGTGCTCAGGGCTTATTCCTGACTCTGTGCTCTGGGTACCTACCATATGTGGTCCCAGGGATCAAAACAGAATCAGCCACACGCAAGACAAGTACCTCACCCACTGTACTATCTCTTCAGCCCCAAGACGTCAATTTCTTATAGGTAACAACTGTTGACTGTTCCTCTTTTAAATACACACCCTTCGTTATATCCAACATTGCATGTTCTCATGGGATGGGTCTTAAAGCACATAAGTCAGTGATATTTGTGTCTTCAGGGATATAGAGGATCAGGCAAAAGTGACTAGTATTCCATATAGTGATGAACACAGTTCTCTGTCTTTATGATATATTTATCCCAGGAGGCCTCATGATAAAGCAATTCGTTTTTCCACTGGTAGTAATTTCTTAACTTATCTGTTATGAAATAAATGCTTCTTATTTCTTTACTTTTGGGATAAATGATAGTTGCAAAACATTAATTGATCAGAATGAATTCTGATACTAAAAGTCATTGCTGGCATCACCTTTCTTTCATAAGGAAAATAGACAGCTGTGTAACCAGTAGTGGTCCCAGACTAAAAAAAAAAAAATAAAAGCTCCAATTCTACAAAACCACATTTGCATATCTAAAAGAGTTCCTGGAAAACATGAATGTTAGAATAAAAACAACACATGATTTCAAGTTGTAGTTCTACCATTTACTAGTTCTGTCACCCTGAGTGAGATATTTCCCTCTTTAAGCTTTAATTATTCTATTTCAGATGACAATGATAATTCCTGTTTCATGGGCACTTTGTGAGGGTTAAAGGAGGCAACAATTATAGTAGATTGTAGCATACTTAGTACTGATGAGAAGTTCATGGAGATGGGTCCTTTGTCCTTCAATATTGAGAGTGTGGTTAGTGCTAGTGAGATAGGCTGAGGAACTGAGTGCACAGCTGACTTGATGCACACACTTTGTACACTTTGAAGACACAGAAATGTAAAACAAAGTTTTTATATAATTAGTCGATATCATGGCACTTTAAGCTGGTAGATGCAGGTTTTTATGGGAACAAAATTAAGGTGTAAGGGCCTGGGATTTATATCCAGATCAGAATCAGGGAGTTTTTCTCAACTCTGGGCCTCACTGGTACCTCATTTGTACACATGTACCTTATTTGTACCTCAATCCATAATGAGTGGAATGAACATCTACCACACATTGGTACTTGGGAGAACTTATTAGGATAAACTTGTCTGTAATATATTCTAAGAAGGAAAATAAAAGTGAAAAAATCTAGAAAGCATTATGTCACTTCCCCTCTCAGTTTGTTGCCTAAAGATCTAAGGCTGTACCATTTTTATGAAACTATACTGAATGGATTTTCCTTGAGGGCTCAAAAACAAGGTTAATATGAAGAGAACATAGATTTTCCAGATTGACTGAAGCTTTTCTTATACTTCATTCATCAAGTGTTTAGTGACTTCTACAATGTATGTAGAAGGTACTACATATAAGAGACACTCAAATGTTTGAAAAGTCAACAAAAGTAAAACAGCAGTGAAACTTTTGGGGTAGAAGTTGCTAGGAATATCAAATGTTCTTTGTATTTTATACCCACTGGGAAATGGTTAACATAGAAAAGATGACTCATGTGTTTACAGAAAAGCTTTTTTTGTCATTTAAATAACTCCCCCAATCTCAATGATTGTAGGAGGATAAATGATCCCTTTTAGAGGGTACAATATGATAGCCGTTTAGTGGCACATCAGAACATGACAGCACCAGGCAGAAGCCAACAAGCTTATTATATTCTTTAGAAACATTGGGGGATCCCCCATCTGATCCAGAAATACCTGGAAATTTCTCAAAGAATCTGAAAACACTAATTCAAAAAGGGATCCCTGGTGTTCAGGGCAGCTTTACTCACAATAGCCCAAACTTGGATTTAATTCAAATGCCAGTTAACAGGTGTTTGGCTAAAGAAGCTGAGTTATATTTGATCACTATTTACTCTGAAAATAAAAAATGATGAAATTGTGCCTATTAGGGTAAAAATGAATAGACTAGGGAGTAAAATAAGGAAGTGAAAGACAATTGTCAAATGGTTTTACTCACTGTGGAGTATGAATTATTAAGGCAAATGTACTTACAAAAAACAGCAAAACTAATCCCTTGGCTCAATGCGAACCATGGTGGTTCCCACAGGGAAAGAGTAGGTGGGAGAGAGAAATGAGTAGAAGGGCCTTTTTCTGGTAACAAGAACAGTCAGCACACAGAGATAAAAAGTGAAATCTCTGATGCTCCATAATATTTTAAACCAACTTATAGTTGAAAAAGAATGATGTAAAATATATCAAAAGTACATATAGGGGTCAGATAATATAGAAGGTGAAGTGCTTGCCTTGCAGGCAGTCAGTCCTGGTTCAATATTCAGGGGACCGTATGCATACACCCCGTATCATTCCCCAGTACAGCAAGGTTGATCCCTGAGCACCAAGCTAGGAGTAAGCCATGAGTACTGACATCTTCTCCCCTCCCATCGGGGGAGGGGGGAACAGTCCATATGAATTGTATTCGATGGCTTTCCACTGCCTACTGCAAGAAAGCATTAAATTAAAATCAATTGCAAATTGAGCATTAAAGCAATTTAGCAATGAAATTTTGAAAAGAACTGTAGTGGGGGAAAGGGGGGTATAATATGGCAGCCTACGATACCTTCAAGTAGGTTTTAGCCAGTTTGTTGTTTGGAGGGTTATTCTGATGGAATATGTAATTAGACTCATTGGATGCCTACAACTGCATGTAAATGTTCTCCATCTAGCCAAGCAGTAAGAATATAAGCAGTGTTAGCACACCAGATTAAAATTAGCAGCAATAACAAGATGCAAAGCAAATGTGAATAAAAGGTGATGAGTGTGCTTCAGAGATGTATGAGCTCAAGGTCTGTCAGTAGATAACACTCTCTGCTTATAATTAGGTGTCACAATGATAACACCTTGTAGGAATCCCCTGAAAATAAAATCCCAAATATAGACTTTTTCCCCCAGAAGAAGTATCATAAGGAATAGAAATTCTTTGATGAGAAAGTAAGCATTAAGTATCAAGTATAGAGGATTTGTCATACTGTTGGAGCTTGTGAGGAGAGATGGGTCTCCTAGGAGAACCTGTGGGAACTTCCTCTTGCAAGAAGAAATATTCAACACTTTGGAAATATTTGGTATTACGTCTTGCATTTTTTAATCATTTGATCCTAGATATATGGGAGGTGGTCACACACCCACTGGTTCTTAGGACTTCCTTCTGGCTCTGCACTCAGTAATCACTCCTGACAGTGCTCAGGGGACCATATGGTGTGCCAGGGATTGAACCTGGGTTGGCTATGTGCAAGGCACATGTCCTGCCTGTTTTACTATCTCTCTGGCCCTAGATCACAAATTCTTAGGTATAATGTGCTTAATGTAAAATTAAATCCACAAATCACTGAGCATTCACTCTGTGCCAACCACTAGGACAAGCATTTTGTGTCAGTTGCCTCATTTAATTCTCATGATATTGGTGAAATAGATATTATCATTCTCAGTTTTCATACCAGATGAAAATATAGATGAGATAAATTAATTTAAATGCCTTTTCAAGATTACACAGTAAGTGGTAAATCTCAATACTTTCTGTTACATGGAATTAAGTTTAGGTAAAATCACAAGTTCTTAAAAGCAATGTTGGAATTTTTTTGGTAATGCAGGATGAGTTAGAGTTTATAGATTTCTTATGAATTGGCACTTGAAACTTATTGAATAAGGAATAGAGAAGAATCTAACTCATGATTTCATTACTGTTATTCTTATGATGAGGCTTAATAAGATTAACTGTTTTAAAAATAGATTTTTAGCAGCAGGAAGGACCTTA